GAGTTAGAGGTACTGGACGTCAAAGACAGAATACAGAGCGACAGGACCGTTATTTGAGGCAACTAGCACTTAGAGATGGATTTTCCACAAGGGCAGTTGCGAACCAGTTGTTTGATGCTGTCGGAAGGGCAATAACAATGAGGAAGGACAGTTTATCGCCGAATAAGGTATTTTGGACTGTTTTCATACCGTCCCCATCGTGTAAAACCTCTGACCCCACAGTATCGTCGGCAACGAATGGTATGGAATAGGGAGAGACTTGAATGGAATGTGGACTGCAACTCAGTCGTGTTCAGCGATGAGTCCAGATTCTGTTTGGGCACACATGATATGGCCTTGCAAAAGTAAGGAGGAGACGTGGTGAAATACGGAACGTCCAATATTCCATCGAACGACATATTCATCGCACTGTCGGTGTTATTGGGTGGTATGGTATGGGGTGGCAGAACCTTATCCAGGAAAGTAGTGTCTTCACTCACTTTATTTAGCCATATTCTACAAAAATCCATTCGAGCTGCGAAATCCTGAGGACAAAGGCCTTGATGCAAGCATGATATGGATGGTACCTATGCTTGTGAATAATCCTTTGGACAGAAGTTCTACATTTATCAGTTTCTGCTCCAATTTGCCGTGCACTTAAATGGGGATTTTCCTGCAACTTTAATAGAAGCTCCAATTGATTCGCCTCATTGGTGACACTTGGATTGTTTATAAATTTTTTACTATATTCCACTGCTACACTTGATTCAAAAGGTTCTCGTAGTGTGGAAAATGTTTCCGGCCTTGGATGTCGCGTATTTGGATACCGTTGCTTATAAATGCGAGATTCTAGGAAACTATTTCTTTGGGCTTCGCCCAAAACGTTTACCATATTCGCCATTTTTACTGTAGAAAAATTCATTTTCAAACACGTTTTCACTATAATGCTCACAAAGCTAAATTTGACAGTTTGTAACTAATCAACAATTTATTTGTTTCCAAGAATGATGCGATATTTTAGGGAATTAAGATGTTCCATAAAAGACCGAAAAAAATAGCCGTAAACCGTTATGTGTCTAGTATCAAAAGAAAGCTTATAAAAAATTGAATCCAAACTTACACAAATATACAGGGTGATGCATTTGAAATTTTTGAGAAAAACTACGATTTGCGTTGTTGACCGCCCTGTATGAGCAAAAATTAAAATTCGAAAAAGTAACAAATAAGATAAAAGCTGAGGTGTGTAAGTTTTTTTTTTATACAAAATTCAGCACTCCAAATTTCAAAATGGCGAACTGATAGGTTGCCGAAGAGGGGGTTTTTCTAGACAAAACACCTTATCCTATCTCAATAGCTAATAAACAAAACCGCATAGTCTTTTATATCAATTTTCTTCTACTGAATTGGTTCATCCAAATATGTAATAAAATTTGAGGCATTTCATTTGAAAAATCACAACTTTGATATGTAGGTCGAAATTGGGATACCCTGTATAATGGCCAATATTTTAGAAATGTGCCCTCAAATGTCGTGTATAACAACCTATAAATAGATTTTCCCGAAATGTACTTTTGTATGAGTAATATTCCGTCCACAAATGGATGGGCCACCCAGTATATATGTATGTATATAATAAATTACATAGAAAATGCAACACCGACTTGGAGTGCTGTAACTTTGAGCATACTTTAACAAGGCTTAGGTCTACTTATAGATAGGAAGTGATTAAAATTTTAACTCGAAATTTCACAAAATAGCTAAGATATCCTACCTTAATGTTAATAATGTGTTGAAGCTCCTCTGTTCGCTACACATTCGTTAAGTCGTTGCTGAGTTAATTCTATTAGGTGATTGATGTGTTCTTGGTGTATCCCATGCTATATGAACTTGGTTTCGTAGAGCCTCCAATGTTTGTGGAGGGTGCGGCGCAACCTTCTTCCCATTATATCCCATACATGTTCGATGGGGGAAAGGTCTGTACATCGAGGAGGCCTCTGGAGTAGATTTACTCCAGACGCTTCTAAAAAGACTAAACTAATACGTGAGACATGAGGTCGTGCATTGTCCTGCTGAAAAAGTGGATTTTGCAATGTTTCCAAAAAGGGAAGCAGATGTGGTTGTAAAATTTCGTGGATATAGCGCTGGGCAGACAGCTACCTCGAATGAACACTAATCGTGACCATACCGTAACACCCACAGTGCGATAAATATGCCGTTCCTTACTTTTGCACGGCCATCATGTGTGCCCAAACAGAATCTGGAGTCATCGCTGAACACGACTGAGTTCCATTCCATATTCCATTTAAGTCTCTCCCTATTCCATATCAATCGTTGCCGACGATGCTGTGGGGTCAGAGGTAGTACAAGATGGGAACGGAATGAAAACAGTCCAAAATACATTATTCGGCGATAAACTGTTCTCATTGTTATTGCCCTTCCGACAGCATCAAACAACTGGTTCGCAACTGCCCTTGTTGTGGAAAATCGATCTCTAAGTGCTAGTTGCCGCAAATAACGGTCCTGTCGCTCTGTATTCTGTCTTTGACGTCCAGTACCTCTAACTCGCCGATTTCGGCCTTCTTGGAACCACGCTCGACAACATCTCATTACAGTATCTTCGTTCCGATTCACCCGATTAGCGATTTCTCTAAAAGAAAATCGGGCTTCACGAAATCCGATTATCCGACCCCTCTCAAACTCGAAAAGTTGAGTGAAATTAGCGCGTCTGCGAACACTAGACATGATAATGCAATGAACCAATATTGAAACAAATGGAACCAACACAGAAAAATCACTGAACATTATGTATACATGTTCATATTGTTCGGATCCTGATATGACAAAAAAGCCTTTACAAAAAAAGTACGGCTTGGAATGCCTTCAACATTTTATCAGCGTATACTTCCATGATAGCAGATATGTTTACAAGTCTTTATCAAAATTAAATAAATAATTCCGGGTGTTGCATTTTATATGTCACGTATGTTTATTTATGGCAACGATGCCAGAATTTCAAATTTGATCGCAGGCTCTTACAAATGGAGTGTATCGGAGAACTGGCGGTGCCAGAAATATTGAACTGCGTGTATAGGTTTGCGTGCAAGAGTGAGTAGCAGTTGCATTGTGGATTGGTTGCCGAGATTCGGCCGGCTTCTTTTATCAACAGGCCACCCGATATATTACATATACTAAGTGACATATAAATCCGAACACCCAGTTTAAATGGTTTTATTTTAATAAAAGTTGGTGAAATTATCTTACTGTAAATAACAAGTGAAAAAATTTTCAGCCTTATCAGTTGGACATTCCGGTTTTTATACTGTTTTTTTTTAATTCACTAACGCTCTAAAAATGAATATTTCAGCCGCAGTAAAGAATCAACGTTGGCGGCTTTTGGTTCTTGACATCCTTTATGATCGGTTACGATGCCTAGAGTACGGAGACCTGTACGATTTCGTCAACTTGGTGAGTTTGATAGGGGCCGTATAGTGGGACTTCGGGAAGCTGGACTTTCTTTTCGGACAATTGCAGTTAGAGTGCAAAGAAGTGTAGACACTGTGGTTAGGTGTTGTCAGGCATGGCTTCGAGAAAGCCGTACGCAAAGAGCAAGGGACACTGGACGCCGCCGTAGAACAACAGACCGTGAAGATCGCCGCCTAAGAGTATTGGCCTTAAGGGACCGTTTCTCCACTACCAGGTCCATTGCAAATGAATGGTTTGCAGAACATGGAAGACCTATTGGCATGCGAAGTGTTTACCGACGAATGAGAAGTTTTGGCTTGTTTTCATACCGGCCACACTGGGTCCTCCCTTTAACTCGAGAACACCGACGTAATCGCCTTGAGTGGTGCAGACAACGGTCACTCTGGGATCAGGAATGGAACAGTATTGTCTTTAGTGACGAGTCTCGATTTTGTTTAGGCATGCACGATGGTCGTGCCAGGGTTAGAAGGCGACGTGGTGAAAGGAGGAATCCACAGTTTTTTGTTGAAAGACATGTTCATCACACTGTTGGAGTTATGGTTTGGGGTGCTATAGCTTATGGTTCCAGGTCACCTTTAATCTTCATCAGAGGTAACATGAACGCGCAGTGTTATATCCACGAAGTTCTAGAACCCCATCTTTTACCCTATCTTGACACCCTGGCAGATCCAACTTTCCAACAAGATAATGCCCGACCACATGTTGCAAGAGTCACAATAGACTTCTTTCAACATAATGATGTCACATTGGCCACCAAGATCTCCCGACTTATCCCCAATTGAGCACATGTGGGATATGATGGGTAGGAGATTGCTCAATTTGCAACGTCCTCCTCAGACTCTAGAAGCACTTCGAGAGGAGTTGGTGGTTGCCTGGAATGAGATACCACAAGAGGACATTGACCACCTGATTAGAAGCACGCCTAGGCGCGTTGGAGAATGCGTAGCACATCAGGGTGCATCCAAACATTATTAAAGGTCAAAGGGCTTTAAAGCAGTGCAATCATTTTGAAATTTTTATCATTTACTTATTATGCTTCATTAAGTACTTATACAAAATTTTATTAAAATAAAACCATTTAAACTGGGTGTTCGGATTTATATGTCACTTAGTATACAAACATTTTAATGGACAGCCGTAATAGCTACATAACGTTTTATTTATGCGTCCATTTTGGTATCCTGTGCTAAAAGCTTATGAGGAATTCAGTTAAAAACAGATTAACTCTGATCCGCAATAAATGATACATTTTTTGTAAGGTGATCAGATTCTGTAACAATGTACCCCTTCTTCAAGAGGTTTGTTCGTATAGTGGTCGGTAACCGTGTCTGGCATCCGGCCGTGTGAATTCCGTCTAACGAAATTTGTGTGACTGGACCTTGGACACGGCCACTGACAGGTTGACAACTGCTGTACGAACATGACTTATTTGTCAAGTTTCAAGTTTACCCTACTTCCACAATCAATAAAAAACTAGTTCAGTAGGAAAGACGATATAAGGTTATGTTATATTATTAACTTATTGATGTTTCTTGTAGGCACTGATGAGATCAGCAGATAAGTACAACCTGGGTTTAGATCTCAGAGCAGCTGCATACATCAATTCTGTAGAAAAAATCTTCACTACCTACTCAGAGGCAGGTCTTACATTTTAACGAAGTGTATGTTACAAGTTTCATTATAGCTTTAGCGCTGCGTCTGCATTCTTATATATGTATACCAAAATGCTGCTTACCATTTAACTGCTTATTACTTTTAAATATATGTTCTTGGACTGTGATGTGTTATATTATGAATTCAAAATTCTCTGAATATGATTCGTGAAATCATAATACATTCAAAAATTTTATGAATTTACAATCGAAACGGAATATTTTGTATTCGTTTTAAGTTACTATAGTACAAATTGTGTAATCAGTGATCTATTAGAATATGTATCAGTTTTTTTTTTTTGAGGAATATGATAATTTGTATTCTGTTTTTTAATACACCACCACTACACGCCGATTCTCTGGAATGAACTATTTTTGTTGAGTGTTGAAATTATTATAAATATAATGTATTAATCATATTACTTATTGTAATTTAAAACCCATCCTTATTAGACAAAACCATTATTTTGTAGGTAAGGGAAAATAAAGCACCTTGCATGTCGTATTCAATTATCAGTTACCAGTAGATAAGCATGTTGGTGTAATGGGGTATACGAAAAGGATAGAAGTTACCAGATTTCGCCGCCCCACCACCACCCACTACTACTACTAAGTCGTCTATTCGTCATTGTATGTCAGAGCGGTTCGTAAGACCTTTTCTCTTGGTTGAAGTATTGTAAGTCAGTAGGTCTGTTTGGTTTCCCAAATACCAGACAAATTCGGGAAGAAAAAAGGAACAAGAAAGAAAGGAAAGGAGATCAAAAGAAGTGCGTCAGTTTGATGAGTGCATTGGCATTGCTATCTAGTATTCGGGAATTTTAAATTGATCCTAAAATTAATTTAGAGATTGGTTGTTAAAGAAAAATTATAATTTTGGTTGGTCCTAAAGTCGCGCGATATAAGTTTGTTCACAGCGCTAACCGCGGCCTTGTGTGCTTGCGAACTTGGACGACTGTGTGGACTAGTGACTGGCGCAACAATAAGTTGCTATGCGATTCCGCTTGACTGTAAACGTTACTGCGCTTGTTGTTTGATATAGTCCCTTAAATAAGGGATGTCAAGGTCTGAACAGTATCATTGAAGACATACCATGTGGCGTTAGTGGTTGTACGCAAGGTTTTGTTCTGCAAATGTGTTTTGGCGAGAAAAGACCAAGCCGTACTTGCATAAGTGATCCATCTTGTATAGCCGAACTTCGTTGATTAAACTTAATTTTGAGGTTATACGTAGCATAGGGTAGAGTTGCCGAAATGTAATTGGAAATATAATTTTTAACGCTGATGGGCCGTGTTGTCGACAGAACGTTATTCATTTTTATCTGAAATTTCCCACCCTCACGGAAGGATTTAAAAGTCTTAGGAGCTAGAAAAGGAAGCCGTTTAGGATCAATTTTTAGAGGAGGCCGTTGTGCCACACTTTTGAGACATCCAAGAAGCAATATGCCAGTAATTTCGTTACAGGTGAATCCTCTAACCGCCTGACTCTCCGTGCTATGCTCCGAGTGAAAAACAAATTGCACGTCAGCAATCACATTTAGGACTGACGAGAAATGTTCAAGGTGACGTAGAATCACCTTTTCAGGGAGCTTAGAAGAAACTGACAGACTAATGGGATGGTAATTCTGGGGAATATCGAACCAACCTTCTTTTAAATCATTATGGCATCAGCGGCTTTCCACGCCGCTGGGAAGTACTTAGCATGGCATTGATTATTGACACGAGATAAGGACTTCCGCGAAAGCAGCTTCAGCGCCTTATTAGTGATTCGATCCTCTCCAGCTGCTTTATGCACCTTGAGGTCTTTAATAACGCTCCAGTTGAATCTTCTGAAGACTCTGAGGGAAAATCACTGAGGGAGGCGCTACTTACTACCACTGAGGCGGTTGGCCTACAATATCTCCTGACGGATCTTATGTGTTGCTCCTCGTCGAAGTCATTATCAAGATCATAGTTGAAAGAAAACTGTCCATAGCATCAGCGAAAACCTCGACCTTTTCCTGTGTCCTACAGCATATGGCCCCAGGACCGTGAATGTGCGCGAGTTGTTCTCGCTTTCCATTTCTCAGCGATTGCAACTTTCCAGAGAGAAATACTTGAGTCAGGTATCCCCGCCAGAAAATCGCTCCAATGCTCATAACGGAATACATGAAGAGCAGTTCTCATTTCATGAACAAGATTCGTCGCTCTGGGAATGTCTTCAGAATAACGACACATTTTCGCTTGCTTAATTGCCGCTCTTTTGTCAGAAGTTTCCTGACGAATGTATGCGAACTACAAAGTCGTGATACCATAGTTTGCTGGTTAATAACGTTTCCATCAGTAACTAGAACATTATATCCTCCATAAGTGGATTAAAAACTGTTTTTCCAGTCAAATACGATTTCAACTCAAGGAGATATAATTTATGCGATACTGTTCATTGTTCCATAAATTATTTGATATACTATGTACGGCATTCTGAATACCATTCAACATCATGTTAAGACATGCGTAACGGCACGTTACATTTGATAAGTTACAGTTCGCTATATTTTCACATACGACTTTTAACGCCAATTTCATAAATACGGCTCCAGGTGATTTATAAAGAACTTCTTGACTTAATATGCGGATTCGAGACCCTTTTTACACAAATGGTATACTTTTTCGCTAGATAAGAGGTACTTCAGAAGAAATCGATTATATTTATTAGATCCATTACTTCAAAAACGCCTTCTGATTGGTCAATTTTTATCCGTGGATCAATTGACGAGTCAACAAAAATCGGGCCTTAGATCATTCTATGGAAAAATCGACAAGTTCTTAGCTAAACAAGTAATGTTAGGAGAAACATTGAAAGTACTTTTAATAGCCGTATTTTGGCTACAACTTTGAGTACACTGTCTTTTGGAACCTATTATTTGCTGACATTGGCATGAATATATTCCATTAAAAATAATTAAAAACGATACGATTGATAGATTAGTTTCGAAAACTTCAATTGATCGTAATAAATGGAAAATTACAAAAAATGCGTTTCTGAGATGTTTTTTAATTGAAACTTATAAAGAGGAATACATTCAAAATTCCACATCAAAATCTGAAAATACGTGATTTAAACAGCTAACGGTTTTTGTATATATAGTAACTCTAATCCTGTATTGAACTTATGCTATTTATATCTCCACTTATAAACATTATATACACGAATTATCCTATTCTTAAACGCGAAACCTTCAAGTGTATTCGTCCTTTTTCCCCTTGATCTTATCACTGTCTTCGGTATTTTTCTTTACCGACTCGAAATGTGAAGTCAACTCCGCCGACTTAGCTACGATCTTCGGCTGGAGGGGAATCTCGCAGGAACCATCATTGGAGTTTTCAGCTAGTGGCATTTCCATTAAATCGCCATCTTTGGAATTCTGAAATAAAATCAGTATCTAAAGCAAATCCTTATCTAGAGTTTATTTAACTCATTTTCTGATTTGTCGTTTAGTTGAATTGGATAACCTGTTAAAGCATATTCCAGGGGGATATAACCTTAGACAACTCAACTCTGTGCCGGTGTCTATGGCGCCATCTAAAAAAAGCGATCCATACCTATTGCATCAAAAATGCATAGTGGTATCACTGCTTGAAATGCCAAGAGGCGTATTATTAATTGTAATAGCGTTTTCCACTGGCATGCTCTGGTGCAAGTTTGCATTGAATTGATTCTTGTAATGTCGTTACCAGTGTGAGACAATATCAAGATAAATCATGCAGGAACAAAATCAGTGCAAGATGATGGGCAAAGAAGGGGGTAAGAAATGGTCAAAGCCCCAGCTCTCAAGCCGTCATACAACACATACATACACTTAGTTGCATTGATTTTCTCAGTGAAACACAACATGACAAAAAAATTAAGGTATACAGCAGAACACTGTAATAAGCAAAGGTGTGTAAATTGTGCAACCGCGCATACCAGTGGAAAACGCTATAGTCACAAGTGTTTTAAAATAGAAATGTCATGATATTTTAACCGATTAGAATATGTGAAAATAGTGAAATAATGTTAGGAAGGAACTGTAAACAAACAAGAGTACTTGTCTGGCCACGCCAAAAGGAGCCTTGCCGCTTTCCAAGGATCTGTCCCAACGAGAACTCAGTGTCTTCTTATTGATCGTGGTGGGCGCTTGGTCCCTCCTTATTTCCGGCAAACGGGGTCAGTCGGTTGTGGTGTACGACCCTCGGCCTCGTAAGGGCCTTCCCAGGACCTTTGCAGGTTTGGTGAAGGGCCTTTCTTCCGTTGATAGCCACCTTCATCCAGTTAAGTTCAATTTTGATTTGATTGCCTACGTCGTCATGGATCTCGACCATGCGTCTTGCCAGGGTGGATACGTAGTCGTCACCTGCCACACCGCTCCGGGTCGAATTCCAAGCTGCATGTCACAACGTTGCCAGAGCTCACGCCGAAACAACACTTTCAACGAAGTCTGGCCCCTTGTATCGATGACTATAGCCCGATACGCCATCAGAAACATGGGGGGATTCCTCTCATGTCTCAGCGATCCATTGCTCGCGGAGCACATTGTGCATTTCCGGCACCGCTGCCTGACGTCTTCTGAGCAGTTTACCCAGCAAAACCACTCTCGAAGTCTTTCACGGGTCTTGACGCCCATGTGTTCAGCGGACATTCCATCGTGGAGCTGACGGAGAAGCTCGGGCACCCCGTTCCATGGCACCATCAGTTGCAGCCTCCGCTGAGACCTACATATCTTCGTTCTCCACGGCTCGTGTTTCTGGACGCCATCTCCCCGCACCAAACAGTTTCGCTGGGTCCAGTATGACTTTACTTCTGGTGACAGCGGGGCGATTTACATCCATCTCGGTCGACGGTTCTCTTCATTCCACTACTTCAGCCGTATAATATTAGGCTCGCACTCATGGTCTTTACAGATGCTAGCTATTAGGGAACCAGGAATCTTCCACTACCATTTGCAGACGGTCGCAGTCCCCATGCTCGATCTCTAAATCATACATGGCGAGCCACACCATCCATATGTCCACTTGTGCGATACCCCAAGTCTAACTGGAATCTATGGCTGCACGTATTGTTGGTTGCATATGTTTTGTGAAGCCGATTGGTCTGTAGTTTTCATCTTTGAGAAGAAAGTGGATGCGCAACTAATTTCGAGCTTTGAATCTCAATTAAGTGTATTTGAGAAAAAACCCAATGCAATTATCATCAAGGTCATTTCCTAGTGACTAGACTTTGACAGGGGTAGAATTATTGCCTATCGCGAAATTGGTCGCCGTGTTAATTGTACTGCAATGGCGGTAATGCGTGTGTGAATAGAAGAGGCGAACCACAGAGCGCCAAGATAGGCGCTTCAGGTAACTAGCCCTACGAGACCGTTTTGCTAGTACACGTCAGATTGCTGACCAAAGGTTTGAGACGTAGGTACTCTGTAAGTAGACTCTATCGCCGCATTCAAGCCTTTGGACTTTTTTCATACCAACCACGGTTAGTGCTCCCTCTGACTGTGTACCACTGTCGTCAAAGTTTGAACTGCAGAAGAGAACGGTAACACTGAGGTAGAATGGCATGTCATCTTCAGCGACGAATCGCGATTCTGTCCAGGTACGCACGATGGTTGTAGAAGGGTAGGTCGCCGCCAAGGAGAACGGCGTGATATTGGATTTGCTGTCGAGAGGCATTTTGTAGTACTGGTGTTTAATTCTAAATGAGTTTCGAACGTTGAAATTGATTTCGATGGCGCCTTGTGCTATATTGATCTCCTATATTCAAATTATCATGGCAGTGTCAAAATTATCATAGCTAATCAAGTATATCGTTGCAAGGCGCCATCGAAATCAATTTCAACGGTCGAAACTCATTTAGAATCAAGCCCCTGGTTTGGGGGGGGGGGGCTATTTCCTATGGTAGACCAACCATTCTCCTTGTTAAAGGCAATATGACTGCTGGATGTCCCCATATTGCTCGTCGTAAAACGGACTTTGTTCAAGCAGCAGGCGTTAATGTTTTGCCGTGACCACCCCGTTCACCGGATTTAAATCCCATCGAACATGTGTGGGATATGATGGGGAGGAAACTATCCACTTTGCACCATCTGCCACAGCGAACGCACGAAGCATTTTGTCGATGCCTAGACGTATAAAGGAGTGTATTCAGCTGCGGAGTCGCCCAACACATTATTAATTTTTTTTTCTTATTAATTGTCAATAAAATTTTGTGAGAATGTTATCATTTCATTCTTGATGTAAGACTACCTCATTATTTTTTTCTAATGTCTAATGTCACTGAGTATATTTTATATAACTTTTTGATTGGAAGTATAACCTCAATCTATCAACAGTTGCGGTAGTTAATAACTGTTTTGCTTGTTGTTTGATTTATCGTGTCTTTGCCTTAATGTGATATATGGAATAAGTGAAAACTATGTGGCACAAAGTGTCACCTATAGAAATTTGTAATATGTCGGTCCATAAAGTTGAGTTGAAGGAGTTCGCTTGCTGTCACGTGTATTTCATTTTTTCTTCTCTTGCCCCAGAGGTGGCGTACGCTACACCATACAACGTACAAATAGTAGCATCAACCTGCAATTATCTGTAGAAGTTGTAACATTATTACTTTTTAGCACAAAAGCTTTTGGTTTTAATCATTTCAGCTAGTTTTTCAACAAAAAACAAGGTAGACCTTCCTTTGTAGTCTAATTTTGAATTTTTGAGTTCCTTATGTTTAACCAAAATTTATTTTATTGGCACTATTGCTCTGTCTCTTTTTTATTGTCAGTATGCTGGCTTCTTACTATTCCCATATAATTATAAATTATCATAGTGGAAGAGATATAACATATTTGTAAAAGGCTATATGTAAAATTAACGGCATTATGTAGCGCTTTTCAATACGATACCTTCTAAGTATTTTTTGAATGGGTCAATGGAATTCGGGGTGATGAATTTGTTGCATACTATGTTTTATCATAAAAGTGACAAAAGAACATGTCAAGATAGCGGCTGAGCGAACATTTTTTGAATGGAATGTGGGGTCACGTTATATTTCATTTTGAAGCTCGTTATGAGTACTGAGGGACCCCAGAATATAAAATTATATCTTTCAAAGTGGCGGACTGACAGGCTGCCTACGTTGATCGCAACTGCTTCTAAATCAACTATATACAATTTTTCAAGGTTTCAAAGTGTGCCGTTATTTCAAAATGTCTAAAATGAGGGTAATATTTTATTAGCGCTTGATTTTAAGAATCTGAAAAAAAAAACGGCAAAAGGCTTCTGCTCAAAATTCGAAAATATATTGGTACTGGGATAATACATAAGAAATGCTAGTTTTCGATTCAAAAGTCATTTGGTATTAAACTATACACGTTTGCAATCAATTTCAATGTCACCTGAGCTTGCATTATTAATTTTTCACTAGGATTACTTGAATGAATGTATATAAACCTTCGACATCCAATGCAGGAACAGGAATTCATGACGTCCACTTTCCGGGCCCCTTCTTCTGTTGAATTAGCTATAGCATAGCAAACTCTTTCTATGCCATAGACACAAAGCAATGCACAATCAAACCATACCATACGAGGTTTGTAAATTAAGAAATGATGTTTTTTATTTTTTTTTATTCAAATATCCATTACAATTTTATATTGTCACGCTCAAAATATCTATACGGAGCCGTTTTGTGATGTAACATCCAGTTGATCTTGATCTACTGAACGGTGGTGTGAGCAAAATTTAACTCTTTCCCGATCATTCTGACTGTCAACCGACGATATGAATATACAAAATCCCGGATTCTGTCGATATTTCCATCGGTTCTTGAAGATGAAGGCCTTCCGCTTCGTGGTGCATTTCCAATCGACTCTCTCACTTCTGAAGATTAAACCACCGAAAAACCTGGGCTCTTGACAAAACACTATCTCCGTAGGCCTGCTGAAATTTAGCACTATGCCCAAGTCTGTAGCAAAACCAGATAGCACACCGTTGCTCGAAATTGATGTCACTCATTTATAGAACACAATAGAAAAACTGTTTCACAAAAAAACTGGCGCACTTACACTGAAGGCGGGTCACATGTTCCCCTGTCTCTCCTACAAGCCTAGCGCCTATTGCCATATCGAACGCTTCGTCGGTAGTATCATTATTCAATTTACAGACCTCATATATAATCTCCCCATCGTAACACAAAATCCTTTCACACACGAAATAGTACTATATCGTCTTAATTTCTTACACAAGTCTTACCTGACTCTGGTTCACTACTTTTAAACATGCTAAACAGCTATAAAATTAAGACTTTTCCATTATTAAAAACAGTAGTCTGGTATTTTTTATACTTCTGACTTTCTACAATTAACAACAATGCTCTTTATTTCAAAAAGTGAATGCACATTGCATTCTT